TACTTATGTAGAGTACAAAAAACATGGAGAAAGATATAACAAGAATCCGGAGAAAGATTAAACCAAAACCCGGAGAAAGATGACACAAGAATCCGGAGAAAGTTTAAATCAGAAGCAGTAGAAATATGACACAAGAACCTGGAGAAGGATTAAACCATAAAGAAAGATGAAACACAAGAACCTGGAGAAGGATTAAACCATAATGAAATATGAAACGCCATTTCTAAATAGTCAAAATATTTTCAAATAATATAGTTTGGAGTTTGAAATTTTACTCCCAAATGGAGCTGACGAAAAGTGTAAAAAGACGCAATTTTTCACCTTTTACTGAAAATTTCTCCTTAAAAAAATATCGAGAGAACAATGTCAATGGCTTTAACCGTTTAACCCTTTAACAGTCGAACCACTAGACTTAGAATCCCAAAAGCTAAGACATTACCGTGTTTCTCATAAATCAAAAATCAAAAATTTGAGGAAACGGATCAAAAATATGAGGAAACGGATCAAAAATTTGAGGAAACCGATCAACAAATTGAGATTTTTAAAGTTTTAGAAAAAAGCGGAAACGGATCAAAAAAAAGCGGAAACGGATCAAAAATTTGAGGAAACCGATCAACAATTTGAGATTTTTAAAGTTTTTGAAAAAAGCGGAAACGGATCAAAAANTTAATTTAAGATATGGATAATTTTCATTACATAGGATTATATCATTACAACTACAAATTTCACAATGGACTAGGGTCAATTTGAATTTAAACTGGTTCGACTCCTTGTACAGGCCTGTCACAACTTTTTTAATGTAAAGAAGTCAATCTCAAAACATAAAGACAGAAAAGCTATTTTAATGTTTTTTAGTACGCTGCTTTCCTGATCTACAGAATCTAGGTCCATCCCCATCACCGAATTTTAGATATCCATGTTTATGTTGAAAAATAATTATTTTTTATTGTGGCTAAAACAAAGTCTGTAGTTAAGCACTTTTAAACCTAGAAAAACATCAATCTTCCACATTATTGATCAAATTACGGTATTTATGGTACCGTTGTGAATCAGGCATTGCCGTCTGAGCATGAAGAGTCTCTTGAATTATGCATCATCATTAGTGACAAGAAGCTCGATTTTGACCTGGTGAGGTTTTTTTAAGTGCCTTTATTCTTAAACTAAATGTCGTCCTGTCTTTTCCTACGCTTTCCTTAGGATTACCTGTTTTCAAAACATATTTTATATTTGACATAACTTCAAAATTTGGGTTATTTTAAATTTTAAATTTTAAAAAACCCAAAAAAAAACAAGATTTTGAATTCGGAAGAAAACCAAAAGAACACTCTGTAATTTAGTTTTGAATTTATAAAATTGTCAATTTTTTTGCTAGAAAAAATTTAAAGACATTTTTGGAAATTTCTTTTAAAGATCTAAAGAACTAAAACATGAAAAGTAAAGTTTTGAAGATAATTAGATAATTATGAGTTACTAAAGTTTTTTAGATTTTATGTTTTACAGGTCACCCTGTTCTAAAAAAATTTTTTAATTTAATTGAATATCGTTTTTTCATGAGTACAATCAAGTTTTGTTATGACAAGACCTTTCTAAAACAACAAGACTAATAGTTAATGGTCTCGTCACTAATGGGTTAATAGCAAGAAATATTCAAGTGACTTTTGCAGAAAAACTACTGAAGAAAAATAGCTTTTAAAAAAACTAGGAAACATGCATATATAAATCATACTTGATCAGACGAAGCTTATCAGGGTACCTTTGCAAATTGGACATTGACATCTTTACCTGGAGGGTCACTTGAAATTACGCTTACAGCCCCCTTAAACCATCACTCAACTGCATCTTGTGATTTCGGGACACCATGAAACTTATAACAGTTTAATGGTCAAGAGGACTTGACTTTCAAACCATAATAAGCAGATTTCACTTATTTATTTAGAAGGGGGGGGGAGTATACCTTTTAATCATAAGTCCATTTAGGGGTTGTTTTAGGTTTATTATAGATATACTAATAACAAATTAAAATAAAACTTATTTGGATTGATTTGGATAAAAGATAAATAATTCTTTTTGGTCTGGCTTTCCTCATTATTAATAGCTTGAGCTATTTGAATATTTTTAACAAAATCATCTACTTTTTAAATAAATATTCTCAAAAATAGAAAATACATTGAATAGTTTATTTCACACTTTTCATTACATATAAATGTATTTAAATACATATTCTAATTTCATTTACATAAATAGACAAATTTTTTTACGTTTTCATTTCAATTCTACACAATTTCGAATTGAATTAATTGTTTTTTCTAAAATTTAATTTTGTGAAAACAAATGCCAATGTTTTATGAAACTATTTATTTTAAATAATCTCATTTTATTGTTTGGTAAATTTTGTTCACTGATTTACACAAATATCAACATTGAGTCATGATCTAATTACATAGAATCTAAAGTAAATCTTATATATTTCCAATCATGACTCTTCTTACTGAAGAACCATGTTTTGAATTTCTAATATGTAAACTGAATTTTACTTGTGAGTAAAATCAAAACTAGAGGAGCTACGATGTCACAAAGTTGTGCCAATAATATTGCAAAATAAATAATTATATTTCATTGACAATGATATTTTCCAGAAGTTGTTTGTTTAAAATTTTTGACAATTAAAAAACAATTTTTTAACATTTTTTAAAGAGTGTGACATTCTTTACAGAGTGCGACATTCTTTATAAAGGAAAGACATTCTTTTATAGAAAAAAACATTTTATTAAATTCAGAAAATTATTCTTAATTTCAGTAAAGAACACATTCTAAAATATTAAGGTTATTATAAACAACATATTGTTGGTAAAACATAACAAACATTCTTTACACTCATCTTCACAATAGTCTAAATATCAATGATATTCAAATTTATCAAAGAACACAATGTTTTAACAATATAGTTCTCAGCGATAAATAAATAAATAAAATAAAGTAAAAAAATATTAATTTTGTGTAAAGAACATCTTTACGCGACAAGTCCTAATATCATTGACATTCTATCTCAGTAGAAGGTCTGTACATTGTCCAGATGAACTCCTTCTGACAGTACTTATCCAGGTTGGACTAAAAGTAGAAAAAGATAATTAATTATAAAAAAAATTAGTTTTACTTTTTTTCATTCGAAAATATTTGAGTTTTAGATTAAAGTAATGAAAAGAATTTTGTTAAAAAATTTTGAAAGATATTTCAAACTATGACGTCTTTAGGATTAAATATGCTGAGTTTGAAATATCAAAGGTGTAAACCATCAGATTGCAAAGATATAGGAATAAGAAAATTTGAGTTTCTGGCAAAGACTCAATTCCTTTATATTTGATAAAACTCTCTGTGTGTCTATTTCACTATGGGTGGGAAAACTAAGATTAAGAAAAGTCTAAACTTTTAAAAATTAATTCAAATTGAACAAGTTAAAATGAGAAAAGTGAAACGTATCTAATGGGGCCTCTTTCCAAATATATGATTTAGAAGACAGAAAGTTTTTGATCCATTTTGTATCCTTTCAAACTTTTGGAAATCTTTGTTAGAAAATTATAAAAATAAGCTTATTTTAAAACATCTGATATAAGGCTTACATTTATATTTGTAGAGTTGTATCAAAGTTGTTCTTCTTTACTTGAAAAAGTACTTATCTAGAATCCTGATATTAATACCAAGAAGTGATAGAGTGTGCACTTAGGTAATGTCAGAGAAAATGCATTTACCACTTTCAGAGAAAGTATAAAATGAAATATCTTGGACTAACCCTATAATAACCAGGCTACGCTGAAAAGAGAATGTAAGAAATGAAATCAAAAAGAAGTCAAACTGGTTCTGGATGTCGCGAAAGAACTTTGGTAGCAGAGTCCTCAGATTGACTGTGGGATAAAGTATCAAATTAAATATCTTGGACTAACCCTATAGTACCCAGGCTACGTCAAAAATAAGTCAAATAAATAATGGATGTTCAAAATTAAAATGAAAAAAAGAATGTCCAAAATAATCGTTTTGTTCAATTAACAAACAAGATTTTTAACCGCGACATAAATTAACCGGGATATTATCATAAAACAGTTTGAATCTTTCCTCAAAAAGGTTTGTGGTATAAAAAATTTTAAAAAACAATTAACATCATAAAGAATAAGACATTGTTAACAATCACACATTGTCAACCGTTGATATCAACCATCATTTAGAACTAAATGTTAACAAATGTGTAGAAACTGTAGACAATCGTCAAACTAAAAAACGTAAACAAAAAAAGTAGGAATTTGTAAACAGAACTAAAGCACAAAGGATTATCTTGTCATTTTTGGTTTTAAAAAAACTCAAAAACGTCCCCAGCCCTAGACAACAAAGAAAGCCTGTTATGTGGCCAAGAAGGGAAAAATGTAAATAAAAATTTCATATTTTGCAAAATTATTCAGATCATGGTTGAGATTCGGACAGATTTTGTTTTAAAATTCAAATATTCCATCCTTCTACTCCAAACAGAGAAGGGATGATTCAACTCTATTTTCAAATCAGCATCTTTTGAACTTAATTCAATCGGATAAGCCGGCATCAAAGCCAAAAGTTTTTAAAAACAAAGTTTGAGTGAAAAAAACATAAAAACTGCTGCAGTGGAATTTTTTTCTCAAAGAGTAGAAAATATTTTGTTATTGAACGGTTTCACAAATATACAAGTTCTCTCAAGAAAACATTGGTTAGTTAATTCAATAATAATTAATAAGAACTTTTTACAGATTCCAATTAACTTAATAAAACTATTTTTTTAGTTAAGAGAAAGTAACCTTTATTTAATTATAATTTAAAACCAACATTTTTAGTTATATTTTCACAGAATTGGAAGAATAATGATTTTGTTAAAAATGTTATGTTTTAAACAAAAGGGCAAAATTGCTTTCTGTTAATTTCCTTTTTTGCACCAGAGCAATTTCCAAATTTCAACATTGAAAAAAAAATTTAAAAACCTGTAAATATGTTACACAGTATTCTTTTACATCTTATTAAACAATACCTTGAAGAAAATGAATTTAAAGTTAAAAGGTGTTAATTAAATCTCTCCTGGATAAAGTAAGAATCATGAATACATTTAACTATGTGTGTATTGTATTGTATTGTATTGTACTATGTGTATGAATTGTATTGAATGCAAAGGAATATTTGATTTCTTTAAGAATCTAATTAATTATCAAGACATTGACCGTAAGAACTGAGATCTTACCACAAACTCTAAATCCCTTTATTATTGCAACCTTAGGTCGTTGATATTTGATATTTCAAACTATGAATTCTGTGAAATCAAATAGTATAAAATTAAGATATTGATGGTTGCAAAGATATAGGGATTTGGAAAATTAGGGTTGTTTAAAGAACTTACAGTAAGATAAAACTTTTAAAAATTAAATATCGTCTTTGTTTTCCATTTGCAAAGGGGGGAGTTTTATTTATAAGTTTTTACAATTATCTAATATTTTGTAATTGTTATTATCTGCTAAAAATATTTTAAATAATAACAGTTATAAATATCTAACATGTTATTGGTTATTTGTATTGTTGGTTATTTCCTGTTATGAATATCTATTATAATATTATCTGTTCTAATTTTCTAAAATGTTATTATTAGTTACTATATGTTACAAATATCTAAAATAATATTGGTTATCTAGTATCATATATCTCTCTCACATATTATTGGTTATTTTCTGTTATAAATATCTAACATGTTACTATATGTTATAAATATCTAACATGTTACTATATGTTATAAATATCTAACATGTTACTATATGTTATAAATATCTAACATATTACTATATGTTATAAATATCTAACATATTTATTTAGTTACCTGACCAGCCACAAATGACCCTGAAGTAACAACTCTGTATCCCATCTGCTCCAGGCAGTTTAAAATATTGATAGATGTTGTCGGGAACTCTACTCTTCTAAACATCAGAGTTTTTAATAAATTAATAGAATGCTTAAATATAGTTTAAAATATTGATAGATGTTGTCGGGAACTCTACTCTTCTAAACATCAGAGTTTTTAATAAATTAATAGAATGGCTTAGGATAGTTTAAAATATTGATAGATGAAGTTCAAAATATTGATAGAATAGTTTAAAATATTGATAGATGTTGTCGGGAAATCTACTCTTCTAAACATCAGAGTTTTTAATAAATTTATAGAATGCTTAAATATAGTTTAAAATATTGATAGATGAAGTTTAAAATATTGATAGATGTTGTTGGGAACTCTACTCTTCTAAACATCAGAGTTGTTAATAAATTAATAGAATGCTTAAATATAGTTTAAAATATTGATAAAATAGTTTAAGATAATGATAGAAGTAGTCGGGAACTCAAATGTTTTAGACATCAGAGTTTAAGATATTGATAGATGAAGTTTAAGAAATTGATAGAATATTTTAAAATATTGAAAGAACAGTTTTAGATAATGATAGATGTAGTCGGGAACTCAAATGTTCTAGACATCAGAGTTTAAGATATTGATAGAATAATTCAAAATATTGATAGAATAGTTAAAAATATTGATAGAATAGTTTAAGATAATGATAGAATAGTTTAAAATATTGATATGAAAATTTAAGATAATGATGGAATAGTTTTAAATATTGATAGATTAATTTAAGATATGGATAATTTTCATTACATAGGATTATATCATTACAACTACAAATTTCACAATGGACTAGGGTCAATTTGAATTTAAACTGGTTCGACTCCTTGTACAGGCCTTAGTTATGTGGGGAATGTACCGGCCCATCCTATGTACTCAGTATATCAGAGACAAATTTGGCCTACTACAGTTTACACAAGCAAAGTTAAGTGTGATATCTCTAATCCTTTAGCAAATTAGAAGCACAATTCAACATGAATATTATTAAAGTATGATTATAAATTAAACAAAGCTATTACTCTCGAACGTTTAGGTTATAAAAGTGCATTTACTAAAGGAGAGATATAGAGGAATTTATTGGTCTATTACACTATCATCTATCATCTATAGTGAGCTATGTTCTCATTAATCAATCCTGGTTAGACAGGATCTAATGTTAATCTCTGATAGAGCCAGGAGTTAGAAATATAACAGAAATTAGAATATAAAACATTTCCCATACAACTAAAAGAAGTAATTTACAAACCTTGTGTATAAATAACGTAATAACAACATTTTGTAGATCCTAGTTAGACAGGCTGTAATGTTAATCTCTAATAGAGCCAGGAGTTAGAAATATAACAGAAATTAGAATATGAAACATTTCCCATACAACTAAAAGAAGTAATTTACAAACGTTGTGTATATTGTTTTAGATCCTGGTTAGACAGACCATGGCCGGGAGTAGGAAATATAAGTAACAAGAGTAAGAATACAAAAACTCTATCTTGGGAACCCGGATTTGCCTAGAAATCTAACTTTCTCAATAAACATCTACTCAACAACCCTTTAATGTTGAAACCAAGCCAAGAACCTTCCTGTGGTTCTCCCGAGTTCTCCAATAATAAAATTGAGGAAAATCAGTCAAGGTTGTCATGATTGGAGAAACAAACAGAAGATGGAGGGTTTTGCTTCAAAATGCCGTCTTAATCTTCAAAGGTAGGCCTAATATTCGAAAATATGCTCAGTCCCTTTTAGTGTATGATGTACAATTTGTACAAAAAAGGAATAGGATGATAAATAGATTTATGTACATAAAAGGAATATTATGATAAATAGATTTATGCATTTCTATAATCTTGAGAATACACAAATATAAAAACAATTGTAAGCAAAGTGAGACTTGGGAATAATCAAATCTATTCTGTTCAATCTTGTTAGTTTTATAACTTGTATAACCACATACAGGGTTATCCACAAGGAATATGACTATAAAGAAGACCTAATAATCCTTAAATCAGTTGAACTGAAGCTTTAATTTGTTCTTTGGACTTTGCTATAGACTTTTATAGGTGTACTTAATGATTTGGCAAGAAAAGTAGAAAGTATAAAGTTACATGGAACCATGAATGAAGGAAAAACTGAGGAATACAATTTGTAAAGTCGTCTCTGAATACTCATCCTTTGTGGGTAACCCTGTATGTAACTTATATACATATACTAGCTTGGGAACCCAGCGCTGCCCGGTTAATAAAAGCTAGTCATGGCGGTTAACCCGTACATTTTCGCTATTAAAGTCGACCCACCCAACTTAGAATCTTAAAACCAATCTAAGAACATTTCAGTCTCCTGAGTTCCCCAATCAAAGTTTGAGGCAAATCAGAATCAGGAATCAGGTTGTAGATATAGATTTTAAACACAGAAAATTGGGAGAAGGGATGGGATGGAGGGGTGGGGGGATATTTAGTCAAAATATCTCAATTATAATAACTATATAGACTCATACCAAGATAATTATTATAGACATGATAAAACAAAAGATAGGAAAACTTAGATTATGAATAATCAGATTTGTTTTCTTTTTTTGTACTTTTTAGTTTTATCAAATTAACCTAAAATAAAATAATTGAGTAGTGAATAACAGGGGTTTGCATATTTTTTGAAATAGTATGTTTACCCTTTCTGTTTGATCTGAATAGGGATGAGAAAATTGATTAACTAACTATCACAATTCATATTACTAATAATAACAATAGATCTCAGTAGATAACCTCTAAGGAAATAATTAATTATTTAAATCAACCCAATATTGCATTATCCTATACATAAACATAAGATAAGACTTCAAAGACAACTGAGAAATTAATTTAACCTTTTTTTACAATTTACAGAGCTACCCAAAATGGATGAGATTTCATAAATGATTTACAGCATCTGTATTAGTTTATATTCCATGAGCTTTTATACATTTTTATTTCTTCACCAAAATATTATATTTTCCATTAAAATATTATATTTTCGGCAGAAACCTTTAGATAATCAAGTCTCATTCTTTGTGTTCCTTAGTTCGTGTCAGACAAAGGCCGGTGTACACAGCTACCACAAGCTATAGTTTGTGTAGGACGTAGGGCGGTTGATACAGCCCTCTCAGTTTTTCACCCAAGCGAGTTTGCCCGTTGGAGATAAACCCAAGCCATGCGCATCTGCAGCATAACATAGATATTAGCCAACAACTAGGCCAAAAGTTTTTTAAAATGTGGAGGGAGAGGACTTGACGAAGGATACCCTTCAAAGCTTTGTCTGATCAAGTATTGCATTAAACATCCATGTTTCACATTTTGAAAACTGAATATTTTTTTTGTGGTTTCACTACGAAAGTGACTTGCGCATTTCTTGCTTCAGAAACGATGGAGAAATAAAGGTGTCAAAGGTACATCGGACATGCCACTCTATAAATGGAGGGTCACTTAAAACTGCATGTATTCCACTTAAGTATAATTACATCGTATAGAAAAAATACTTTAAAATCTCACTTTTGCCCTTAACTAAAAAAGTTTCATTAAAAAAGCTTTATTTAATACTGCCTTCAGTGTTAATATATATTTGATACCATAATTTATAATGCAATATGTATCAATCCTATGACGCTTGTAATATGGAAGTGTGTATATGATCGAATAGTTTACATAGTTAAATAATGTATCATATTTTTTTCAAAAAAGGAGTTTTAAAGGGGAAGGGCACAATGTTGCCAAGAGGGGGGCACAAAAAATTGGCCCCCCCCCCCTACACAAATGATCTCGTAAGCCCCTGTTCTTCTGGCAACTGTTATTAAAAAACACAAAACATAAAAAACTAAAAATACCTGTTTTTTTCATCCCTTGTATCAGGATGAGCAGAACATTTTTCTCCCAAAATTCTAAAAATAAATATTTTAGCATTTTTTGCATGTTTCTTTTGATAAAATGTTAAAATCAGAATAATGAACAGTTGATTACGCTGTGTAAGCTTTTTTCTCTTTTATTGTTATTATAATAGAAAGTAATAAACTGTTATAAATGTGTTTTCAAACATTAGTTTAAGACATCCAGCAATCTATATCTAAAATATATATATAAAAATATATTTCATTTGAGATATTAAAGAATAAATTTTCTGTCGTATTATTCATCTATTCTAGAGCTAACCAGATTACTCTGGTGGGAAAAATATATTTCTATAAAGTAGTAATCTCGATCTGTTTGTCTGTCTGTTTGTATGTCCGGTCGTAACTCTTGAATCCCTTGAATGATTTGCCTGAAGTTTGGACTGGGAAACCTAGTTAACTATTCTGTATTTAAGCGATGTTTTTAACCAATAAATTGTTTTCTAACAAAGTTCATATTAATGTATAAACAATTTACAATCTTTTAAACACTGAGACTAATACAACTTGGAATAGAAAGATGACATTTAAGCAATATTATGCGTATTTTAAATTGTTTTAAAGCAAAAAGTTGTACAAGGTAAAAGCTTGAAAAGTTTAAGTTAAGTCGCTCTTTGACCTATGTACTTTGACCAATGTACACACTGCACAATTGTTGTTTTCATGTTCATTGGAATGTTTAAATCTTAACTTGACTTCCACAATTTCAGGGATCCCACTGCAGTTTGCAGTTTTTTAAATAAATCGATTGATTATCTGAATCTGACAGATTGATGATATAATTCACCTGAACTCATTGAGAGGAAGCCCGTCGACCATACAGAATCCGTTCATGTAGGATTCTCGCACTATTAGATAGGGCATCTTCTAAATTATTGTTAATGTCTTTAGAAATATTAAATAGGGCATCTTATAAAATATTGTCAACGTCTTTGGAAACATTTAAGATATTAGAAAGGGTATCTTCTAAAATATTAGATAGGACATCTTCAAAAATATTAGACAGGGCATCTTCTAAACCTAAATTATTGTTAACATATTTGAAAATGTTGCATTTATTTGTAACAATATGTTTTTTTTTGTAACAATGTTTTTATTATTTGTAACTACTAAATTAATTGTAACAACTAAGGATGCCTAATAAAATGGGCATTTATAGAAAGATAAATTGAATAAAATAAAAATGTTTCTTTTGACCATCAAAATATAGAAGACAGACTTATTATAAATATTATCAGATTATAAATATATAATTAATCTCTCTTTGTATTCATAATGTCTGTGGAGCCCCAACATTTCATGTTAAATCACTTGTGAAAACAAAATTAGAATTGTGACAAAAAAAATTCTGAGATCTACATCTTACTCTCTCTCCATAAGATAATAAATGTATATAAATTAAAATGAGAAAGGAAAAAGGTTTTTAGCTTTTGATGTTTTTTAATTGCCATTATACAAATTACATTATATGTATATAAAAATTGCAAAGAATGAATATTAGTTAAAAACAAAGAAAACAAAACGTTCATATTTCTGTTTAACTGTTACAAAATCAGATAAATATTTTAAGATAAAACCTTAATTTATTACCTTGCGGATTAAAGACTACTTTTTGCGTGATTGATAAATTGCGCTTGCGCAGTGTACACTGTTAACATAACGTGCAAATCCCCGAAAATCTAACCTGCTTTATTCTATTACAATACTCTTGGGAAAGTGTACTCTGTCTCTCTAGTGTTCGAGGATTCTCTTCAACTGGCAGAGGTTTTCATTTCCTCAACAGTTGGTCTAGTCCCACCTACCCCCCACTTCCTGCCCAGTTCTACCATTTGCAGATTTATGTTACATTAATCCGCCCGGCCTGTTCGGAAATTGCGCCATTTTGGGTTTTCCGGCTTTTCTTCCTTATATCTGAATCTGATTCAATAATTCAAGACTTTTTCCACAAATTTATTCAACTTCAAATATATTATAAAAGGGCAATCCATCCACTAAGAATGAACTTGTAAAATATTCTATTCTATTCTATTCTATTATATTCTATTCTATTCTATTCTATTCCTATTCAATTCTATATATTCTATTCTATCTTATTTTATTCTATTATAATCTTTTCTATTCTATTCTATTCTATTCTATTCTATTCTAATGATTATTTATGATTAATTTTAGAAAGGTGAAGAGTCTGAAATAGATCAAACATTAATAATTTATGTTTTTTTACGACAAATTAGAGCAAAAATCTAAGCAAACTATATTTTATAAAATAAATACTTTATTCATGATAAAATTAAATACGTTTGTATTTTTGCAAATATTGTTTTGAAATAGATACGTTATATTATTATCATAAGTTTGTTATGATATTAAAAAAAGTTTTCTTTTGTAAAAATGTTCAGTGTAATTGAGTTTTTTGTTGTTGTTGATACAATAAACTTCAAAACAGAAGAGCAGAATTACAATGAGATCTATAAACCTGTGGAAAATAAAGACGATATTTAAGCAATCTTAACTATATTTGATGTTGTTATTAAGAATTATAATTTGTTTAACCATTGTATCAATAATTATTTTAATTTGGTTTGTGCACACTGCATAATTGCTTTATGTTTTGTGCTCATTGGGCTAGTTCTATTTCACAGTTTTATGGGTTTACTTTACCCAAATTTCGTTGGGAGCTTTACACATAACTGTAATCAGTACCGGGTAAACATGATATTCTGTAAACATGAAGTACGCTGTACATTATTAACTATCTATGTTTGTAAACTTCTACGTAAAAACCATTATTCATTCAAACTGTGCTTCAAAAGAACATGATTGCCTTAATCAAGTGATACAGATAACAACGTAGAAATTATAATCATGTCTATTAGCTTTAACTTATAAAATATAAACTTTAAATACATTAGTTAATATAGAAACTCCGCTTTGATTACCCTTTCCTAAACTTTCTTATCCCATTTGTCATATTAAGGCGGAATTCCGACAATGGATATCCTCAGAGTTTTCAAACCCCGCTTAGTGCAGTGACTATTATTTTTTCCGCCCTGTAAGAATATAATAAATATGTCTTCCAAGCTTTCCTTGTTAGTTAAGTATAGGGGCTGAGAAAGCTGTATCCTGAAATGCTGAAATGCTTAGTTAGACCATAAACAAGAACGTATAATCAGAAATATACGTCAAAATGCATTTTTCCCTTGTCTACAAGAGATTAGAAGGTGTAGATCTAAAAGAGAAGAACAGAAAAAAGATGTATAATCAGATAAAAAGAAGATACAATTGGAGGAAGAAATCCACTGCTCTTTTTAAATTGTCATTTAAAGATAAATTGTCAAAAAATAATTATCATTTTTTATACCTCTTCAACCCTTTGGAACACTGAAGGGAGTGAGGAGCAAAAACCTCTTATACAGTAAAATGTGCTTATTTCACTTTAAATGTGATCTTATTTTTGAAAAATAACTATTCCCAGTACACTGCTCCCTTATGTACATTGTAGTGCATTGTACACCCTTGGTTTGTAAATCAAACCATTATTAAATTAGATGGATAAAGGTTTCAAGGATACAGCTGGGAATCAGGCATTACTATGTTTANTCCATACATCCAATGTTATCCACAACGGATGAGACTGTAACTATTTAAATATGATTATTCCATGGGGTTGGATTAACTCTACTAATCGTTTAATGGAATTTTTAATGATTTTCAAAAGAAGTAGACAATTTAGCAGTTGCATACAAACATTAATCATAAGAAAACCGACATTATAAATTCCAAATAGTCGTCTCTGAAGTCTCATTCTTTTTGGGTAACCCTGTATATCTATATTGTATGCACAGACAAACTTTATTATGCCCTAAAAACAATATTTTGGAAGACTAAACATTTTAAAAAAACTTGGCTTTCAGGGCGCTTCGCGGTTTGCGCCCATCTTTTATTATGAATTGTGAACATTTTCTCTTTTCTCCCACACAAAATTTGGGCCCGATTGGTTCAGCCGTTTTGACGTTCATTGGATACAAACAGAGAAGAAAACAGAAAGACAAACAAAGTATATATTTATAATAAAAAATGGGTTTTTATATTTGTTAATATTGCAACTGAAGGATGTTTGCTCCTGTATTTTATTAGAAAGTCTGCTAGTTTATTTGTTTTAGCTCTAAGTGGGCAAGAAAACATATTGATATAAAGTATATCAGAGTTATCATTTCTTAAAGAATATACTTTGCTTGTCTGGGTGTCTGTTTGTATCCAATATACGTCAAAACATATTGATATAAAGTATAGCAGAGTTATCATTTTTTTAAAGAATATACTTTGCTTGTCTGGGTGTCTGTTTGTATATACATCAAAACGGCTAAACCGATCAGGCCCAAATTTTTGAAATCTATAAATCTTGATATGGAACCATAATTTATTTGAGCTACTTACATAAAAAGTCGGGTACGATCAGCTCAGTCGTTGTTTTGACGATTATAAGTGGCCGGAAAAATAATATATAATATAATAATAATCATATTTAGGATAGGAAAGGAACAACCCTATTTCTAATATGAAAGGAACAACACAATTTGTAATAAGAAAGGAACAACCCTATGTCTAATAAGAAAGAAACAGCCCTTTTTCAAATAAGAAAGGAACAACCCTATGTCTAATAAGAAAGAAACAGCCCTTTTTCAAATAAGAAAGGAACAACCCTATTTGTAATAAGAAAGGAACAACACTATTTCTAATAAGAAAGGAACAACCCAATTTCTAATAAGGAACAACCCTATTTCTAATGAGAAAGGAACAACCCTATTTCTAATAAGAAAGAAACAACCCTATTTCTAATAAGAAAGGAACAACCCTATTTCTAAGAAGAAAGGAATAATCCTATATCTACCATGGATAAGAAGATGTTAGATGATTCTGTCTCGAAATGCGCCAAATTTTCTTACAGCCTGTCAATTTATAATCCTTCTTCTCCCCCCGCTTATATTCACATCTATCTACAATCTACATATATGCATATATTCATAAATATTCATAGTTGACATATTTATACAAGTATTGTCAATAACTTCATGGTTCTTGACACAGAGAAGTGGTATTCATAGAGAGGAATTAACTTTGCCAAAAATGTATAAAACTACAATATCTCGACATCTGCACTGTTAAAAATCCTAATAATCTAGTTAGTTTTGTAACTTTACCTTTTCCAGAAATTATAGAAATAGAAATGAGCAGGATGAATTCTATGATTATTCTATGCTCTCTTTCCTCATCAACAGTAGTGTCAGATGAATTGGTCTCACATGAGTAAATTCTGATCATTGATATTTTTTGTTGCAATTTTAATGGTATAAAAGGCTTTTTGAAAAAATGAGCATATAAAGGAAGATTTATCCAGAAGCTTAGCTTTATTAAATCTACAGTTTATAGATTTATTTCATGTATTACTACAGACAGACTTTTTTACGCACACTGCGGACTCCGGAGATTTTATTTAACATTCGAGAGCAGATGATCATTTAACTAAATTCTCCGGCTCCAGAGGACCAGATACTACAGAAGAGATTAATTTCCAACAGCTCAATATCTAAAGGGAGAAATATTAACGCCCATCACCTCAAGAACCAGAAGGATCAGAGGATAAACAGAATATTATAAACAACTCATTGGAGTCCCTTAAAATTTCATTGGAGACCCCAAGATTTTCATTTGTAACCCATTAGATATTCGTCGGAGACCCCCAATATTTTCACTGAAATGGAAGTTTCCTACTGTTGCTCAAACAAGCTGCGATTTATTCCCTGACTGAACAGGAGACTAAGAGTATTTTCAAACATAGGTCTGTAAATGCTTAATTTTAAAAGTCCTTAACGATCAGTGTTGTGCAGCGTCTTTTATATATGTTTATTTAGTACTTTGTGTTAAGAAACTTTTTTGCTGAATAAGCGCGCCTGGCGCGCTTGGGTATATAAGGGTTCTTAACCCATTTTTGCAACAGTCTGTATTTTATTCTGCTGCTTTAAAAATAAGAACATTATTCTCTCCAAGGTAGTTTTTATTCATTTTTCTGAGAGAGTTTTAGACACTAAACATTTTTATTAAAAGAGTTTCTTCATTAGAGGTTAGAGTAGTAGAAAGCAAACTGATATATGAGTGGTTTAAATCCGTAATGAATACGTAAAAAGTTAGGGTTTATCTAATTGATGAGAAGTGATCAGAGCCGGCGATTTAAAAAGTTCAAGAAAATACGACTCGGGTCTAAGCTGTTGTTGAGCCTTATATACGACTCGGGCTTTCGAATTTAAGTTGCATCTATTTTCAACAGAATTTAGTTCGTAAAACCGGTTTAATTCTGTATTTGACGGATTTTCATAGTTGGAATTGGCGCATTTCGGGTTTTGATGAGAATAAGACCCAACATTGAGCCTTATTCTTCACTAAAACCAACCAAGGTCGGTTTTAATTTTATTTGGCTTAACTCCTTAAGCCGAGCCTAAGATCTCGCAGCTGTCAATCACGTGACACAAGCTGTCATCAGGTTGGGTCTTAAAGCTGCGTTTAAGGAATTAAGACTCGAGCCGAAGCTCTTTTATTGCGGGCTCAGATGAAACATTTATTTTATACAATTTCTTTCAGTTTATAAGGAACTAATAGGTAAGTATAGATTTTTACAAGTGCTAAATAAGTATGTTACAAATTCCTCAAATGATAAACAATTTTTATTTACTGTGCTTTATAAAATAAGTGATATTAAAGTATGTCTGAACACAAAGTTTAAATGCGGTAAAAACAAAGTCCAAGGCGTTGCGAGAAGTCAACTCAGTCTTGAAAATTGATCCGACTTTTCATATCTATCTGGATCTCTGTGGCGCATTCCCAACCTTATTCCCCTCCAAATTTGAGTCCAAGCTTGAATAAAAGACCTGGCGAAGTTTTGCTTTTGAAGAGATTTTAAAGATGTCTAAATCTCTAAAAATTTGACACAAAAATTACTAGGATAAACTAGGATAAAAAATACCAAGTACAAGAATGTTGATTTGGACGAGAAAATGAGTAGAATGTGGCTCGGATAAAAATTTGAAGAGTATGCGGCACGGAAAGGAAATGATGTGGCTTGCCGTCTCTCCCTCGTGCATCTGATTACAAGACGAGGGGAGAAAAGTCAATTATGTTTTACAAGATTATCATATTCTAATCAAACCTTCATTGGGATTTATGGAGGATTGTTTGACAGGAAACAGAGGGATACAGGATATAGGATGGATGTTTGCTCCTGTANACAGGATACAAGGGATATAGGATACAATACAACTGGGATATAGGATACAGGATACAAGGGATATATTATACAATACAACTGGGATATAGGATATAGGATACAATACAACTGGGATATAGAATACAAGGGATATAGGATACATTACAACTGGGATACAGGATACAGGATACAAGGGATATAGTATACAATACAACTGGGATATAGGATACAGGATACAAGGGATAAAGGATACAGGATACAAGGGATATAGGATACAATACAACTGGGATATAGGATACAGGATACAATACAACTGGGATATAGGATATAGGATACAAGGGATATAGTATGATACAGGATACAAGCGATATAGGATACAATACAACTATTATATAGGATACAGGATACAAGGGATATAGTATACAATACAACTGGGATATAGGATACAGGATACAAGGGATAAAGGGATGCTGGAAACAGAGGGATGTAAGATGCAGTTACATTGGATATATAATATAGGATACAGGGATACAAGGAACTGAAGGATACAGGATACAGGGAAGATATAGGATCAAGGATACAGGGGATATAGAATAATATATGGTACAGGATACAGGGGATATATAAATAAATAAATAAATAAAAGATCAACCACCATTCCGTGGAAATCAAGGCCGAGACCCTATCAAAAATAAATAGATATAGGATAATATATGGTGCAGGATACAGGGTATATATAGATATAGGAATACAAGATACAAAACAGAGGGATAAGAGAAGAATAGATAATTCTAAAACTTGATAAATAATCATTTTCTCTCTGTCTGTCATGTGTCGTGGCTTCCAACTTGAAGAACTGGTTTTGGAAAGCCCGGTTGCATGATTAATGAATCCTTCTGTATTAAAAACATCAAATTGGCAAATTTTGCAATCCAACACAATCCATCAGACACTTATTTTTACATGCAGGGTGTCTTAAGAAACATTGGAATTAGGTGACACACTAGGCATCATTTAGTGAATCTAATTGTAGTAGTATTTCAATTTAAACAATTAACAATGAAGACTACTAGTCGCGGGATTTCAAAATGTGGTCTACCAATACCATGTTAAACATTGATTTCAATTCATTAACCAACAACAAAATTGTTTAATATTTTCGTCAGTTTTACAGATACAAAGGAAGACCGCAGTTAGGAAAGGTCAAACTGTACAATTTAAATTGCACCCTGCGACCGACGGGTTTCCCGGCGTTCTAGCTCTCGTACGTGAAACGATCCGACTGGCAAGCGGATAGGTATTTTTAAGATTCCACGGGCAACGCAAGCCCTTCAGAGAGTACTTTAAAAACCAAAAAGTGTAAATGGTCAAACATATAATAAAGTAAAACAGTAGAAATGCCTGGTAAATGTAAACATATAATATTAAGATATTTCGTGGATTTTCTCATTTGAGAGGTTTCGTGATTTTTTAGAAGTAACTTTATACAGGGTGTCCCAATAAACATGGGAATTCACTGACGAATTCGATATCGTCTTTTTGAATAATTCTTTGATTTAGAATAGTGATACCTACTGAGAAAGCTGTAATCTGTAAGAGTTTCGTCTGCTATGTTCACTTTTGTTTGTTTATGTTTTGACTGAATACGGTAGTACTTAGTAAAACAAGAAAATTACAGTATACAAACAGAGTAAACTTGTCCGTCTTCAAGGTTCACGGTCACGGAGACATTATAGACAGTCTTTTACCCTTTTCATAAAATAAACTCTAGCATACATAGTAATACCATGGCTTTAGAAATTAGGTATTACAATGCTAATTCATAACAAAGACGATATCCAATTCGTCACTGAATTCCCATGTTTTTTGGGACACCCTGTATTTGAACATTTCAAAGAAGGAGATTTAGAATAAGTCAAATGTTAGATTTACTTCAAAATCTTAAAAGTGACTCGCGGATTTACGACATTAAGAGAGGAATAAAATTGACAGAATTCAACCAAACGAAAAAGGCACAGATGTAGATTATGTGCAAACGAAAAAGGCACAGATGTAGATTATGTGCAAACGAAAAAGGCACAGGTGTAGATTATGTGCAAAATGAAGCATTGTAAAACTGCCTCTCTAACATAAAAAAAAATCAAAATAGAAATGAATTTAAGTATTTAAAAAAAGAATTTTAAAATTATTTTAAAAATTACTTTAAAAATTAATTTTTAGAAGAGTTTAAAAATTAGCATGATATTGATATTATCATGAATGATTTTAAAATTGATCTAAAAATTGAATTATAAATGAATTTAAAATCAAACTCAAACATTTATTAAATCACAATATTTATATATTATCATAATAATGAATTTTACATTATTGATGATGAAAAAAAATCACATATCAGGGTTAGAGGGGATTTATACATAGTAAAGTTAATCCACTTAAACATTTAATTATACGAACAATCGATGTTTATTGAAATATTTGATTAGATTGAATTCTGTACATTTCAAGAGTTTAATTTTGTTCATCTAAGTTCTTTTATCGAATCACAGCCAAAACGTAACAATTCTGCGTAAAAAAAACTTATCTCCAAGTTTCCATTGGATAAGATTTACTTTTCCCGGAAATAAGTGAAAATTCGAATTTTCTAATTTATTTCCTGGAACCGGTATTACCCGCCATATTTCAGGAAATCTGCCGCAATCCGGGAAATGAATATTTAAATCTTAAAGGGACACTCTGAAGAAAAACGAAAATAAATCTTAAAGTAACACAACGCCAAGAATCTAATCCCCGAAAAAATATATAAAAACTAGTCTGATTTTTTATTTCATATGAAAAAGTAACCAATTATCTAGAAAATACAGTGATAACCAATATAAAGCGCAGGAAATTGTTGTCGTCTTCATTGTTTATTTTAATTGAAAATTTTGCAGAGAATTTTGAGTTTTGTTACTTTTTCTCGAGATCAGTTACAAATTACAAAACCGTTTTTAGAAGAATAAAAAATTATTTCTATAATGGTTCCTTATTTAAACTGTATATTGCGGGGGTTAAAAAGGAACAATTAAGCTCTTGTAGTGTACATTTTAAATCCAGTAATTAAAAAAAAGTTATTTATACAATTTTTTCACGCCGTGTGTATTTCAATAATAAAATTTGTCTATTTTGTACAAAAAATCTAAACATCATATTACTTTCCTAAAGTTAAAAAAGTAAGATATTTTCAAATTCAGTTTCACGTAGAAAAACGCAGTCGAGGCCAAAATACGATTTAAGGTAATAACGAATTTGTGGTCGAATTTTGCTGAAAATTTTGTTGAAAAGAAATCAGAATCTTTGAGTGACCTTGAGGTTCAAATAGAAACGCAAACTATAATAATTTAAATAAAAATGTAACTGTGTAACTGTGTAACTGTGGGCCACAAAAGGCCAGAACAGAATCAAAAATGGCTCCCTAGGGTTAAAAACAACAATAATTTGGACATGATCGGCCAAAAAATGTTGGTTCCGTTTAATTATAAAACTATAGTTTTTTTTACGACAGTGGGTGACAAACTGCTTAAATTGTACTGCACAAATTTTAATTTGACTATTAGATTCGACTAATCTGAGTGTAGGGTGCAAATATTTAGCTAGCCCACAATTGCAACAGCTGACAATGCAAATATGAAAAAACGAAATTTAAAAAATTTAGTTAAACATGAAACACATTAACGCCAGCTGTTAGGTCTCTAGCTGTCTCCTAAAAATAAAAAAGATTAAACAATGTTCGATTTTCAAACTTTTTTGTTGATTTTCCGAGCCTTAGTTTCAACTTTTTCATTTGAAATTAAATTAATTTTTCTATGAGGTTAATCTATGCGATATAAAGTTAAAATATACTTTTATAAAACCCTATAACCATTTTATTTAATAACTTGATGAATTTAAAGATATGAGTCAATTAAAAACAACTTTAATAGAATATTTCCAATCTACTTTCTCTTCATTGCAAACTGTTGCCTCTGACAAAAGATCGTTAACAAGGGATTAAGGTTTTTAACAGGGGCGGATACAGATCTATCTACAAGGGATTGAGGTTTTTAACAGGGGCGGATACAGATATATCTACAAGGGATTGAGGTTTTTAACAGGGGCAGATACAGATATATCTACAAGGGATTGAGGTTTTTAACAGGGGCGGATTCAGATATATCTACAAGGGATTGAGGTTTTTAACAGGGGCNATTTTATATCTACAAGGGATTGAGGTTTTTAACAGAGGCGGATAAAGATTTATTAGGGTTCAGCGAAACTTGTAATGCGCGTATATATCTCATTGTTTAAAGCCATTCAAGTTAAATTACCGAATCTAGCGCGAAATTCAAACTAAAACAAAAAACTACCAAATGATCTTGACTCTATTATTTCTAACTATAAAGAATGTATTTAACAATTTTGATTTTGGAATTTCAGTTTTCTCTATTTTCCGTTATATTTCCACGCCATGACTCACCCCTGTATCCGACCCTGGTTTTTAGATACATGTTTGTAAAATGTAAGACCTTGAATAGTTTTTTCTTTGACGCCAAATGAAATCCAAAATTCCAAGTAGAAAAACATTCCAGTTATTAACGGTTATTAAATGTATGAATAAATGAAAAACTTAAGGAAGAATAACAGATGAAAAATGAATAAAGGATGAATAAAGGATGAATGAAGGATGAATGAAATAAAACCTAAATCGTTTTTTTTAATAATATGAATTTCTGAAAAGTTCCAGACCATCTTAATATTTGAAATACAGGGTTACTTACAAAGGATGAGACTTCAGATACATTGTACACTGTACAGTGTACAATCATCTGCAACTGTAAACCTGTTTATTCAGATACGATTGTACACTGTACAGTGTATGATCATCTGCAACTGTATACCTGTTTATTCAGATACGTTTGTACACTGTACAGTGTATGATCATCTGCAACTGTAAACCTGTTTATTCAGATACGATTGTACACTGTACAGTGTACAATCATCTGCAACTGTATACCTGTTTATTCAGATACGATTATACACTGTACAGTGTATGATCATCTGCAACTGTATACCTGTTTATTTTTTGCCCAATCATTAAATAAACCATAACAAGATTATATTCAAGGCAGAAGGATTACTTAAACCTCGGATTTGAGAAATTTAAAGAGTTTCAGGTCGTCTTTACAGTCTCATCCTATGTGGGTAACCCTTGACCTCGCCCAACTATAATTTGCTAGTTTTTAACCCTAATTTTAATCGATATCTTTATTGTTTCTATTGTTTGAAAATATTCAGTATTCATGGAGAAAAAATATTTAATTATAAAATCATCTTCATCCTTCGAATCTACCAATATACCAATAAATCTATAACATTCCGGAATTTCAAATATTCTCAAAAATCTGATATTTACGTTCTATTGAAAAATAGTTAATTCACGAAATAAATGTAAGACAGAAATTTTGTAGAAAAACCCTGAAAAATTAGAGTTTTCCAAATTTGCTGTAACGGCCTTGATAGAACTTATTTTTGTGAAAAACTACATTACACTTCAAATAAAGTCGATAAAAAAGTTTCTGACAAGAACCAGGGATCTAAAAGTTAAAATTATTTACAAAGGACCCTAATTTTCACATCAAAATCACAACTATACCCTTAAAACCTTTAATGAGGACGGTATCTGTATTTTAAAAAGAAAAAATCGATTTATTTGAATAAAAAACCTGAGCCTGCGATTTAAAAAACTCGGGAAAATACGGCTCAGGTCTAAGCTGTCGTTGGACCTTATTTACGGCTTGAGCTTTCGGATTAAGTTTCATCTTATTTTCTTCAGAGTTGAGTTCAAAAAACCGGTTTAATATTCTATTTGGTGGATTTTCATGGTAGGAATTGGCGCATTCCCAGTTTTTATGAGAACAAGACGCAACATTGAGCCTTTTTCTCCACTAAAACCAAAGATAATATATATATAGATATGCAGGCAGGTAGAAACCTTCTTCCTAAATTTATACCTGCCTGCATATCTATATATATATTATCTTTGACTAAAACCAACCAAGGTCGGTTTTATTTTTATTGGGCCTCCTAAAGTCGAGCCGAAGATCTTGCAGCTGTCAATCATGTAACACAAGCTGTCGTCAGAGTTGGGTCAAAGATTGGGTATAAAAGTCGAGTTTAAGGAATTACGGTTCGAGCCGAAGTTTTTAAATCGCAGGCTCAGGATATCTTCATTATTTTTACTCAGGCAAAGGTTCAAGGCAACGTTGTGTATCAGACATGCAACAGTTTGCAAGGCGGGTCACTTGAAACCTAATTTCTAGATAACTGTACAGCGATACCAATAACACTGTGGAGTATGTTGATGACATTTAAGCAATCTTGCAAATGTGTATTTGCTGTAGTTATGAAGCAAATAGTTTTACCAGCAGCTGGAAAATCAACTTGTTAAGTGAAATGGGTCTGTGTACATTGCACAATTGCTAAGAGGCGTCTTCCTAATCCACAAGTTTATGGACCCCACTGAACGAAAATTAATTTATTCACCTGATTTCTGTTCCCCTTGGTTTCCAGAGATGGAAATATTTAATGTTGAAGCTTCGCCATTAGGTTCAATCTAATAATAATAATAACAATAAAAAATTAATATTACAAGAAATGATGTTAAATTAAATATATACTAGCTGAAGTGTCCAGTGTTGCACGTGGAATTTTAGTCATTTTGGTTCAGCCGTTTGGCCAGCTATAGATAACATATATACTGATGAAACTATACCTGTAAATCATAAATGATAATATAATGTAATAATATAATTTTATAAACTAGACATTGCTCCTCTTCCTTGTAATAAATGAAGCTATAACAAAGCAAGATGTGCAAATTTTTCTAATTAAAATGGTAGAGGCAACCAAAAAAAAAAAAAAGTTTAACATCGAGATTATTTTGTGACATCCCTTTTTGATTCTGACAACCAAATCCCATCCCTGTGGAATTGCCACAAAAAAAATTGGTCCAGATCGAATCAGTCGTTCTGAAGTTTATTGGATACAAATGGGCCTATGGCACAACTTACAACATGAATATCACTTGACTGAGAATAGTAAAGATAATGATGATAATTTTTTTTTTGAAAATTCCAATAATCCTTGATTTAAACAATGAACCAGTCCAACAAGACTGAATTCAAAAAAAGAAGATATTTTGAGCAAAATTAAATTTTTTGTAAGAAATTCCATTTTATTTCTTATTTTGTGACAGAGCTAGCTGTGCTAATTGATAAATCTGACAAGCTTGAAAAGTATTAATCAAGTTTTAGAAAACTTATCTCATTCCCCAATATGTCTTTCTATCACCTTCCACTGTCCTAATCCGTCAAAATATATGATATACAGGGTGTCCCAATAAACATGGAAATTTAATGATGATTTTGAGATTGCTTTTGTAAAGTAATTTTATGCCTTCTTGAAGAGCTGAAATCCGTAGTGTGTTTTGTCTGTTAGAAAATACGAATTTGTGTTGTGATAACAAACTAAAAAGGTAGAAAAATCTTCTGTTTACCATCAAAATTTTGTCGAAATACAATTGACCCTCTTCATCTTGTAGAAATATTATACAGTTTTGAAAACACATTTATCATTATATCAGATTTATTACGACTTCAGAACAATGCTATTTCTTAACAAAGACGATTTTAAAGTTGTTACTTAATTCTCATGTACAATGGGACACCATGTATAATAAAATATATCTATTCTAATACAGGGTTACCCACACAGGATAATATTTTAATGACGACCTAAAGCTCTTTAAATCTAATGATCTTACTAAGGGTTGAACTTGAAAGTTTGACATGCAAAGTCTTTCATTGGTGTAATAAAGTATTTAGCAATGAAAGGAAATACAGAGCGTCCCATATTCATATCAGATTAACTCCAAGTTTTAACGTCAAAATAAACCCAATATACTCGAAAAACCTCGAATGTTCCACAAGAAAATTCTTAAATTAGCCTTATTCAAGATTTCAAAACAATCTATTCCTCTTAAATTTTCTGATTATTCCCGAAAATCGTCATTTAGGAAACCATGAATTTTAGAAAAGGACTGAATAAATCCTGTACAGTCGTCATCAGCGTCATCGTACAGTGTAATCCTTTGTGGGTAACCCTGTCTATCATATATATATATGGCAACCCTGTCTATCATATATATATCTGGTAACCCTGTCTATCATATATATAGCTGGTAACCCTATCTTTCATATATATAGCTGGTAACCCTGTCTATCATATATATATCTGGTAACCCTGTCTATCATATATATATCTGGTAACCCTGTCTATCATATATAGCTGGTAACCCTGTCTATCATATATATAGCTGGTAACCCTGTCTATCATATATATATATAGCTGGTAACCCTGTCTATCATATGTATATATCTGGTAACCCTGTCTATCATATATATAGCTGGTAACCCTGTCTATAATATATATATAGCTGGTAACCCTGTCTATCATAAATATATATCTATACAAACAGTATTATTAAATATTGGACTTCACTATTTTCTCCCAAACCGTATTATTTCTAACAATATTTATGTCATCAAAAGCTGAAGTGCCCAGCAATGCCCCTGGATTTTCAAAACTTGTGAATAATTTGGCAGAAAACACCATTCTAATCCAAAATTTGAGGTAGATGCCACCTATCCTATGTTACACCCGGGGAATGTAACACGTTCTATCTTTATACATATTCATCTGTCTTATGGTAACGTAATCCAACACGCATATTTATTCAGATATGTATATATAAATGTATATATTCTTTCTTAAACATATATATATCTAATATCTAAACATATAAAGTTGTAATCTGTTTGTCAGTCTGTTTGCTTTTACGATCATAACTCAGGAAACCCTGGACTGATTTGCTTCCAATTTTGATTGGGGAACTCGGGAAGTGGGTCGACTTTCAAGTGCGGGTAAACGGCGTAAGTAACTTTCAGTAACGCTGGGTTCTCAAGCTAGTGTATGTATGTATGTATGTATGTATGTATGTATGTATGTATGTATGTATGTATGTAA